AGGCAATAAGTGGTTCAAATTTTAAGATTAAGATTAAAGTTATAAATTTCCATTTGAAAATAACAGTACTACAGTTATTAACTGAAATTACTGGCAAATAAGGTATTCTGGAAGAATTCTAAATAGCTATATAGTAAACATTTAAGAAGAAAAAAGATACACACATATATATCCTATTAAACAGAACACAAAGAACATAATTTACATTTTAAAAAATGATGGATGGTCTGGAGATTTGGTAAAGTTGGCAGACTGCTTGCCTACCATGCATGAAGCCCTGGGTTTGATCCCCAGCAGTGCATGAACCAGGCATGGTGGCACAGACCTATAATTCCAGCACTAGGAGGTGGAGGCTGGGGATATTCACGGTTATCCTCAGCTACATAGGGAGGTTAAGGCTAGCCTGGGACACATGAGACCTGTGTCAAAAGAAAAAAGGAAAACACAGTAGCATGCCCCCCCACCAACTGAAGCCCCCACACAGCCACAGATACGCAGTAACAGAGTGTTATACTCAGGGAATGAGGCTGTAAGCTGCAGCTCAGACTATGCTTTATCCTCCTGTCTACTTTGAGATGATGTCGCCTAGTTGTTCACTGGTGCTGTGAGCCCCTTTTAGCTTTAGCTGCTTCACATCTTCTTCTATCCATTGCTGCCTTGAATTCTCTGCTACTGAAGTTAAGAAGGAGATTCAAGATAACAAGGCGTCAGTAAAGAAGCTTAGAAAACATTGAAATATGCAAGCTAATTATGCATGTTACATTATACACAATCACACTGGACATACTAAGGGTACCAAGCAATGTCTCCTTGATGCTTCAATCACCTCTTTGCTATGACCCAGTGGGCATGGATAGACTAATAGAGAGGCTAGAGTTTTCATGAACTCAAAACTGATACAGGAAAATGGAAAACAAATCTTCAGAGCTGGGTAGGGTCTAGGTTTGGGGAGATAAGTCTTAGTACAGGTTGAAGTTTGGGCCTTATGATTTGGAATAGATTTCTTGGCTGGGTTTGATCCTCAATGCCTTTATCTCAAACACTGTGAAATGAGTGTTTCAGATTACAAAAACTTTATTGAAAGTTTTACATTGTTTATGCAGAAATCTGGTACAAAGATAGTCTTAATTCTTCCAGATTTTTTCTTGTTCTCTCTCTCTCTCTCTCTCTCTCTCTCTCTCTCTCTCTCTCTCTTTCTCTTTCCCCTCCCCTCTAATCAACACACCATACCGAAGCCCGTCACATCAAGTCTTTAAAAGGCACTTAACAAACTTCATTATCATATTAACTGATCAACTTTCCAATGAAGGAAAAGATATACTAATATTTAGAAATCTTTCCAAATTTATTAACACCCTAATGAAAAAAATACTTCATGGACTTCTACAGAAGCCATTTAACACAAACTAAGCAACACTTTATAAGCACTTACTTTTTGAATAGAGAAAAAGCAGATTCTGATAATAACCCAGTGGTGGGTTCTGGCATGGAGCTGGTCCATGGGTAGAGGCCACTGGTAATGGTCTCCACTGCCACTCCATCCTGCTCTTTTTAAATTTTTTTACATATCAGTTACTTACTTTACTAATTAGTAAGTCTAGAAAGGGAAGGTCTTAGGGTAGAAGGTGCCAAGGATCATAAGGAAAATGCCAGAAGTCAATTTACCTTTTTATCTTGTACTGAGCCTATCATGTAGTTAGGGCAAGAAAAATAGATTGATATTAGTATGTAAATTCCTTTTTTTTTCCACTTTCTGAAAATCAACTTCTGGTAACTCTCCCTGACCTTCCTCAGGGCGAGGCCTTTCCCACTCTGAGTCCAGAGGTTCAGGTTGTCTGGCTCCAGCTAGAACCAACCCATCCCATCTCTGCATTTCCTACAGTGACTGGAGAGGCAAGTTGAGCCATGTGTAATCTGAGGCTCCATGGGGAACTTTAAAAGACCTACCAGGAACAAATCACCTGCTTTACATGGAGGCCTGAGACCACTGTCTCTACTTCTTAAGACAACAAAGCTAAGTGGCTCAGGGAGTTCTAATAGCCTGGTTGAAAACCACGGCTTAGTGCAAACAAGCCTGTACTAGGTTTCTAGCATGGGGGCTGACCAAGTTCCATGTGGCTTCAGTCAACTTGTGATGAATTTTCTATCATTTTCTACAAGAATCCATACCCTAAGAAAGACTCAACTCCTATTATTAATTCAATGTTACACTTAGGGATTATCAAGTAATTAATAGTGTAAATTAGCATGGGGGTACAGCTCAGAGTAGAATGTGTGCTTACATGCACGAGGCCCTTAGTTCAATACCACAACAACAACAATAATGATAACAATAATGTCAACCGAATAATGTAAAATCAACCCCTAGGAGTAAAGTAATTCTGCATTGCAAAACTAAGGATGGTCTCTGTAAAACAAAGGTGAAATGTGTATGTTGCTTTTTTCAAGTCACTGAGGTACCAACTCAGCTCTCAGTAAATTTCCCTGAGAAATTTTAAACCTTACAAGGTCTTCATGTGCAGTTCCTTAGAGAATATAAATGCCAATGAGAAAATAATTCTTCTAGTAAGAGTGAAAACTCTCCTCATTCAGTTTTCAGCATTAATAAAACCATCTGGCCTAAGTCTGATGTTAATTTATTGCCTTGCAAGTGAGGGGAGGGGAAGGGATAAACCATCATTTCTACTTCAGAAGTACAGTTTATTTGGACAGAAGCCAAGCTAGTTTAAATATACATGGCAGACCTCATTCAAACTTTTCATTTAATGTATTTACTTCGTATTCACTTGGAAACCTTCAGTAGGAATAAGGGTGGGTTTGGAGGCTGAATAGTTGGTTGACAAAATTATTCTGGTTGGACTACAACTTAAATCATAGGGCTTCAATATTAATGTTTTAACTTGCACACGCACATGTTTATACAGAAATACTGAGGAGGCAGAGGTGATGAATTCTGTGTGTCTACTGAAAAATCTTATTCTAGGACATGTGAATTAAATTTACAGTGACACAGAATTCTTTCTTCGAGTCGCATAGAAAACTAAACTGAGACAAGCAAAACAACAGAAAGTCTTTTAGACTGAGCTCTGCTTGCAATCCAATGGTGCCCATTATATGTTGCTCAATGGAAAAATCTCCAGGTAGTTTTTAAGATAAGGCATCATTACTATTCATTACTGACAGATTACATCAAATGCAATTTTGAAGAATTTCCCAGTAACACTGCAATGCTGTGTAAGCAAGGGCACATGGGGAAGAGTGTGTAAAAGGAGTGCCCACATGGACATTTACCTTCCACGGCTCTTTTGAAGAAGACTTTGCAGCTTCCGCAGGTCACTACCCCATAGTGACATCCCGAAGCCTCGTCCCCACACACCAAGCAAATTTTGGAAGGTCTTGAGGATCCAGTAGAAACACTTCGTAAAGAAGAGCTGGGAAAAGAAATTAAAATTTAAATAACTTCCCTGCAGTGGCACATGTAACATCCAGTTTGGCTGAGCTCGAAATCTGGGACAATCCCGGCCCCATGGATGAATTCAGTTCACTGTGAACACATGTTGTAGGACACAGAAAAATCAAGGTAAAGCCATATCTGTCAGGGACGTGATCACACCAAGAATGGAGGGCATACAATCCAGAAAGTTGGCTCAGTGGATGACATACTTGCCTCTAAAGCATCAAGACTTGGGTTCAGATCCCCAAAACTCATATAAATACAGGGTAAGCCTGGTGGTTGCCTGTAATCCCAGCATTCCAAAGGCAGAGAAAGTAGACCCCCAAGAGCAAGCTGGCTACCCAGACCAGTTAAAAAAGAGAGAGCTCCAGGTTTAGGAAAAAACTCTGCCTTGACATAGAAATTTAGGAAGACAACTGACATCAACCTCTGGTCTCCACACACATATGCACACATATTCACATTTGAACACACATGTGTTTCAGCATGCATACACATATGTTAAAAAGAACAGTGCACAGAAAAGCCTATTCTTAATACTGAGAGCATTAAGTATTGAGGGGATAAAATCACATGTGAACACAATCCCTCCCCTGTCTAGTTTTGAGAATACAAAATCAAAGCCAAATACCAGCCCTTCAATTTCTTACCTTGAAAGACACATGAAATATTTACCACATCTGGGGCATTTGGTTTTACTACTATGGTATCCCCTCAAATTAGTAAGCAAAATCAATTATGTTGAGTTTACACATGTCACAACAGGGTTTTTTTAAAGAGATAAAAGTAGCTCTTTAAGAATCTATATGAATGCGCGTATCTACTGAATATCCGCCAACAACATACTGAGGAAACATATAAACCTAAGCCTCGTCCCTGCCCCAAGGTTAGTGGGGCATTCATGATCATGGTTTGTGCTGTTCTGCAGGGGTAGATGAAGGCACACTGTGGGGCATTCATGATCATGGTTTGTGCTGTTCTGCAGGGGTAGATGAAGGCACACTGTGGGTTCAGCCCTCCATTATGGGAAAGATGAGAATGTGGAAGTCCGGAAAAACTTGCTCAAATGTGACAGCTGAGATGAATTTTGAAATAGAATAAAGAGGGGAAAGGAAGAGGAGAAAGGAAACCAGACATGTTCAGAGGACTTTGGGTAGAGATGTCACACATCACAACTGTCACCCTACCGTACATGCTTCTGCCTTGGTGTAAAACAGTATATATGGAAAAAAAAAGACTCAAAGCAAAAACACAATGGCGATGATTCTGTTTTTCTTTTCTTTTCCTTTCTTTCCATTTGTTATTTTTATTTTATGTGTATGTGTGTATTGCCTGCATGCAGATAAGTGCACCCATGTCATGCAATGCCCATGGAGGACAGAAGAGGCTGTTGGATCCCCTGGAACTGGAGTTATGGACAGTTGTTAGCTGCCATGTGGGTGCTGGGATTCGAACCCAGGTCTTCTGCAAGAACAGCCAGTGTTCTTAACCACTGAACCATCTCTCCAGCTCCTAGTCTGTTTTTCTAATTAGCTAAACCTGATAAAATCACGCTAATATATATTTGTTTAAAAACACTTTAAAATGTATAAATAGCCCTCTCATCAAAAAATAGCTGAAGGAACAAACCATCCAGCCATTCCATCCACTGCAGCATGACTAGCTTGCTAGAAAATGACTTCTTAAATCAAGGACTGAATCTGCGTTCTCCAAAGCTATTTCTCCTTCTGAGAAAAGTGCTCTTTATTACTCTTATTAGTGTCTTTTGACTTCTTTATGGCATTCAAAACATTCCATTTCAGCACTAGGCTGGGAAAACCCAATCCATGTTTGGGGTGACTCACTGGAAGGCACTTCAAAGAAAAGCTGTGACTATAAATATTTAGAATACAATGTAAAATCATCATTAAATGTAATTGCTTTTTCACAATGAAAAGCACATGTGGGGTTTGGTTTGGTTTGGTTTTGTGGTGCTGGGGACCAAACCCGGGGCCTTGTGCATGTAAGGCAAGTGCACTACCACTGAGTCTGTATGCAGGATTTTATCAAACATTCTTGTGGGTCTTGATCTTTAACTGGTCTCTTAGTGCCAGTCTTCAGAACTCTATTCTGGCCAAACTTCCTTTTGGTGTAATCTCATCTAATCCCTTGGCTTTGACTATCACCATGTCTGAGAACTTGCAATACTCAGCTTTAGAACTTCAGAAAATTTATCAAACGGCCCACCTGGCACCTCCTAGGTGTCTACGCCACAGACTCTGCTGGTTTTTTGCTACTTCCTGGCCTGCTCATCTCACATTCTTCCCCATCTGTTAATGGCAACAGGTACGGTTGAATTATGTTCCCCAAATTCACACGTCGAAGTCCTAGATTTAATTCCTTCAGCATATGACCTTCATTGGGGATGGGGTTGCTATATGTTTATTAATTGTGATGAGGACATACTGGAGTTAGGTGAGCCCCTAATCTATGACTGGTGTCTTTTTCAAAAAGGGAAGTTATGGCACACATACCCACACAGGGAGAATACCATCTTCAGATAAGAGAGAAATTGGGGTATGTATTTAGAAGCCAAAGAATATCCCAAATTGCCAGCAAGTCAGCAGAAGTAAGGAGAGTACAGAACAGATTCTCCTTCAGGGTCAGAGAAGCAACAAACCCTGATCTTGACCCTGGACTTCTAGCACCCAAATTTTGGGGGAGTGAGTTTCTGTGGCTTGAGTCATCTAGTGTGCCTTTCTGTTTTTCTTCTCTCCTCTCTCCTCTCAAGTCAGAACACTACTAACTCATTTATGCTTTAGCTCAAAACCATCCAAGACTCCCCCACACACTTGGACTCAGCCACATGACTGCAGGGCCACAGTCTTCCCTTCTTCTTGTATTTCTCCTCCATTTGAGCAGCACTGAGCTCCTTACTAGCGTTCAAACATACCAGTACGGTACAACCTTGGAGACTTTTGCTCACCCCTCTTCAGTTAGATATATAAAAACCGTCTGTGCTGTTTGTTACCTGTTTTCTATAATCTCATTAATATCTGTATCATCAACATAAGAAAGTAAGCTCAGTATGAGCCAAGATTCTCTGTTCTTGTCTGTCCCAGCACAGGGAACAGAACCTGAATCACAGTGATCCGTGCTATACTTGGAATAGTAAATGGTCCCCAAAGGCCCATTTGTCAAAAGCTAGGTCCTCAGCTTATGGAACTCTTTTGGTAGGTAGTAAAACCTTTAAGAGGTGGGGCTTAGTGGGAGTAAGTTAGGTTGCTGGGGGTGCCCTTGCAGGGGCTACTGAAGTGTTGATTTTTGTTCTCCCTCCATGTCTCTGCTTCCAGGCTACCAAGAGGTGAGCAAGAAGCTCCACCGTGCTGTCTTACATGATGGGCTATGTCATCACAGGCCCAAAATAGCATGACCTAATAAACATGAACTGAAATGTCTCCAATACAGGCCTAAAATTTGCCATTTCCTTCTTTTATCAACTTGATATTTTGTCACAGCAATAGAAAGCTGACGTAGGCAGCACCCAACCAACACTGATTAAGGAGACATCAGTTGAAATCCTTGCAAGAGCTACCATGAAACCCACCCAGCCGTCAATTCTGACAGCCTGCTATAGCTTTTATTCAAGGGAAGGTGATTTCTACCTGAAGGAAGCAACATGACACAGCCAAGTCAAACTGAGATGTCAAAGAGCAAGCCTAGTATAAACCAATCCATTGTAATAAGCAGATTAAAACAGCAAATTTGCTGCATTCAAAAATCAAAGCCAACCTATTTTCCTTCTCTTGTGATCGCTGACATCTTTCAGTGACAGAACTGCAGCTGCCTCTATAGTCCTTATAGTTTCTCTACCAGTGTGCTAAGCCTTCTCATCTTTACAACACACTTGTTTAGTGGGCTCTTTCTCATATCATCTACTTGACCACTAACTTCACAACTCTACCTCTGGCCATCCTTTATTTTTTAAAAATTTTCTTTATTATTTTTATTTTATGTGTATGAGTATATTGCCTGCATGTATGTGAGTGCACCCATGCCATGCTATGCTAAGGAGGTCAGAAGAGAGCTTCAGATTCCCCTGGAACTGTAGTTAAGGACAGTTCGTAGCCACCATGTGGGTGCTGGGAATCGAACCCAGGTCCTCTGCAAGAGCAGTCAGTGCTCTTAACTGCTAATCCATCTCTCCAGCCCCCTGGCCATCCTAAAAATTCTCTCATTTCTGTACTCTATCCCTTTTATGGTCTCATGCACTATCTTGGCTTCAAACAGCTCTCTTGTGACTTTCTGAATCTCTGTGACCAGTCCCATCTGTCTGCCTGTTCTATCGTGTTCTTCATTCCTTTCTATAGCCTCTCTTCTTCTACTTTGTGTGAGCAGGTTCAGAACTATATTTACCCTCCTTTCTACATTTTGATGTTCTGGAAGATACTCATCAGGAAAGGACCCAGGCTGAGAGTCTGTCCCTCTTCCCCTTTTATTCCCATTGGAGCGTAAATTGGGTTGGCAATGTTTACTGGATGAATGAAATCACAGTCATAATCTCATTATAGTAGAACATAAATTCACAGAGGGCAATTTTACAGAAGGTAAATTAACGAGGCCAAGGTTATAGGTTCAATTCCCACTTGTTTCATTTAGCTTTGGAGAGAGAGAGAGCATGAGAGTGAAAGCAAAAATGAAAGAGATCACACGCAGGCATGGAAAACAAAACAAAACAAGACAGCAACCTAGGTTCAAGGACACAGACTATTCTCAAAGGTTAACCATCTTTCTCAGACATTCATTATTAACCCAAGAAACAGGCTACAAAGTGTGGATGGGTTTAAAAAATTCTAGTCACTATTCTTTGTCATATAACTTTGGTTAGAAGGCGAAATACATCAGTTTTAACAATATATTTATGCATTTATGAGGTGGAAGGAGGGAAGAAAGGGAAATGGTCAGATCTTGAACTTATTTCTTCCACACTGAGTATGT